ACCTCTACTACTCAATCAAGATTGTGACGAAGACTAAGTAACTCCTATGTTAACTTAATAGTCACTCAAACTTAGTATGGAGCCTAAAAGGTATGAGTCGTCCACTTGTTTTTAATAAACAAAGGCTCTCAACCAATACTCTTGCTAGGTTAACAAATAACGAGTTAAAAGCCAACATTGGCAATAAAGGGAAACAACCGGTACCCGCCGCTTGTTTTCCTACTTAATTCCTTGGCTACTAGGTAATTCTATTTACTTGGTCAAATTGAATAAAGAGTTCGAATACCGATTGATTAAATGGCCGACTGATCATCTATCCTGGAAACAGACAACCAGTCGTCCAGGGGCATAGGCGGCATACTTACTATTTGTACCTGTCTTAACGTTCGGCCATACACAACAGTCGGTCTAGTGAACAAATTAAAAATACTTAGACAAATTTGAACCAAAACAAAAATTTGATTAAAAATGAGCCGGCCATTAAAGACCAGCAGAATATTCAAAACCCCGGCCCCCTGGCCGGGTAATTACAAAGCAAACGGCACGCAGGCCGTGAAAAGAAAAAATACTTAAAAGCTTAAGAAGGGGGCAGTTCAGTAGCAGCAGCAGCCGCCTGGTCAGCACTCTTCTTGCTGGACTCGGCCTTAGCTGCACCATCTTTTGATGCCTTACCCCCAAGTGGCACAAGCGCCACAACCGGCTCTTCCTCCTCCAACGCACCATCCAACGCCTCTTCTTCAGCAGCCGCCAGGATCTGTTGATTATATATTTCCGAACACTGGCGGTACGTTCTTTCCCATGAGGCAAAGTCGGCACTGGGGAACAGTCGTTCCCAGGTCATGCGTTGGATTTGAGCGGAGTCTTCCACCATCTCCCGGACGAGCTCTTGTTTCTCTTGCTCGGCCTTATCCGAGAGCTCTTGGGTAAGACTCTTCTATTGGTTCACCAGGCGCTCCTTTACGTTGGCCAAAGATTTCTCCATGGCTTCGTAAGAATGCATTTTTTGGCGAAGAGGTTTCAGCTCGGCTTTAAGGTTGGTGACGGTCCCCTCCAGCTCGTCAACCTTCTTTTGGGCCGCCTCTAGCTGAGCCCGAACAGCGGCGGTCGCCTGCGCCTGATAATAAAGAAGATCAATGGTCAGTACTTCATTTTGGGCAATTTGAAACATTGCCTTATCACAGCTGGAGGCGGCCATAGCCTTTGCGGCCTTTACCTCTTTGTTTTTCCGATCAATCGGCTTGCGAAGGCTGTTGACTCGGAGCAGGGCCTAAGTACAAAGAAAAACAGGCGTCAGTTTCCAGATAAAAAGTTAACAGGCGTCCTAGAACTCAAAAGCTCAAAAATGTACTAAGTATACCTCAGCAAGGACCCCTGAAATTCCATCAAGGTCAAGGGTGCCGGCACCCCTGACCGCCTCCCTGTCAGATGGAGGAACTACTTTAACCATTGACTTGGCTACCTCAACCAAGTCAAGTCCCTGGGGGCCGGCTGCATTAAGTAAAAGGATAAAACAAGTTAGACCTAATCAAGAAGGAAGCGGGGGTAAGCTTTACAATTGAGTGTCCATACATCTAGGCGGCCCCGCCTGGGTTTTTGAAGAAGTGGCCGGCTGCTTCTCAGCCGCCACTGTTTTCCTGGAAGACCCAGGAGAGCTTGCAACAGTCGTCCTCCGGGCCTTGGGGTCCGGCTGTTGCGAGGAAGAAGCCCTTGGAGTGCCAGACTGAAAACAAAAAGAGTTAGTATATGCATAAGACGACTAAAAGGGGAAGAGTTTTCAAAGCTTACCAAGGGTGCCTCCTTGTTGGGGGAGTCGGCATACGACTGCTTCATTAGCGAGACCCGCAGCATGGTCGCCGCAGTCTTAGATGCTGTTATTTTACTCATGGCGTCAGCTGCAAGAAATAAGCAGCAAAGTTAGTAAAAATCCCAAGTAAACAAGGCGTGAAAAAACAGATTATTCGTCAGGCCGGCTACCTCTAGAGCACCGACTGCCGAGGCCACAGGCGGCCAAAAAGTACTCGTCATAGAGCCACTTGAAGCTCGGGACGCAGTTTAGGGGTACTTGCTCTCGTACCCCTGAAGTAGAGTTCACCCTAGTCTCTACTTTGAAGAGTCCTTTGTCTAGGATCTCTTTTTTAGCCTTTGGGGGAACAGGCGGCATGCTGCGGCCGCCTGCGAGAAGAGGCGGATCCCTATTCCACTTGTTAAAGCGTTTGTTCAGCTCCGTGTCTGAACCCTCGATAATAAGGAAGGTGTTCCGCCAATCCTTCCATTTGTTTGCCTTACCTCTAGTCATGAGGTAACCCCTATGGCTTGTTAATTGATACCAGCCGGTACCTCCCGACTTAGGGGTCCGGCTGAGATAGTTCATATGGGCGAAAGCCTCAAAGCTTGGCTCCACCCCGTTCAGTTCGCACCCGGCCACATAGCCGAGTACGTTTACCCAAGAGTTGGGGGCTAACTGCCATAACCCCAGATCATACCCATCTAAAATCCGCTGAACAGCCGGATGTAATGGGAAGCGCAGTCCAGCTTTGATGGCCGCCACATAGCAGCCAAAGCAGCCGTCACCATAGCTGGTACCAGCCGGCCAGACGACAGTATCTTCTGGATCCGGCACAAACAGTAAAAACTCCGGGCCCATTTTGTGGTTAGCAATAAAGCTCGCCACGTTGTCTTGCATGGTGGCGATCCGGCCCCGGGGTACCCTGCAGTAGTAGGGGGCGTTTTCCTCTCTGTAAGAGGCGGACGGCTCCGCCCAATTGTCCCCCTTCTCAACTGCATGAGAACGTCTCGCCTCTTGTAGGCGGCTATGTTTTTCTTCTGAGCCAGGAGAACTGTGGCCAGAAGAACTGGACTCAGACTCGTCCTCTGACGAGTCCGAGGAGGACGACTCCTCCCCTTTCCTAGAGGGGCCCGCCTCCTCTCCCTTAGAAGGAGCAGAAGGAAAATTAGACATGTCCACGGTAAGATGGGAAGGGAACACCTTGGCCCCTCTCTCAGAACTGTCGGCTTGACAGTCGCCTCGTTCTACATCTGGCGCCTGGTCAGATGTTTCACTAAGGAGCACCCTTTGGGAGGAGCCGTCTGAGTTTGATATCATAGCAGTCTTTTTTGTTCTGGCCATCACGTTCTGCATAGACACAGATACAGTCGGACTTTGTATAAAGGGCAAAGATGGGTCCAGAAAAGGGCAGGCGGCACTCCTAGTCCTAGATTCAGCCGTCCCCGGTGACCGGCTGATCACTAACTTAGGGCGTGTCGTGTGCTTCCATGGTGCCATTTCAAAAAATAAAAAGAAAATTAAGAGTAAGAGAACTAAGTTACCTGAACGAGTGACGGTTGATGAAGTCCTGAAAGTTCGGGTCAGTCGGCTTGTCAGAACAGGCGGTAGGCAGAAAAGGTCCGAAATGTCAGAGCAAGTTCAGGGGTCCGAATGTTCTCGCAAAGTTCTCAAATGTGAAAATGACCGAAGTCAGCACTTCCTTTTATAGGCAAAGTGAGAAGGCGAAAGGTCGCTTCCAAATTCAAAATGTGGGCGGGAAAATCTCTCGGCCGTTTGCAAGATGACACCTGTAACAGGCCGTCGCCTGTCACCGTGCGACACCTGTCACAGGCGACCCGTGACCAGTCACGTGCCACCTGTGAGGGGCAAATGATTAGGGGGTTTTTATCCACCAATCACCTTCTGACAAGTGGACCAACCAGGTTCCGCCACGTGTCCTTCACGAAGGACAACAGGAGCCTGCCACGTGTCAGTCACAGATACGTCCTCTACGGACCACTATAGACACGCCACGTGTCCACCCATGCCAAATGGGACAACCGGCCATCAAGGCCCAATTCAGTCTAGAGGCCCGATCAGCCCTAGGTTTACCTTAAACCTAGAGAGTTGCACGCTTCTCAAGGCTATAAATACTCGATTAATCCTCATTAATCACACAACAGAAAAGAATCGAATAATCAAGAGATCAAGCAGAGAAGAACAGAGTTATTAACAACCGGCTAATCTCGCTAACGACGCAGATTACCAACACCAAGCACTCTCACCTGGAGAGATCTCGTTACTTTAATTTCTGTATTAATTACTCCTTAATCAGGTACTAACTTGACCGTTGGAGGCGGAGCTCTCAGGAGTCTCCGTTATTTTGCAGGTACAGGCGTCCGGTTCCAGTCTCGGAATTGTAACTCTCCCGCAGGACATCAGAAAACCCCGAAACACCTTGGATAATAGTTGTGTTACGATGGAATAAGAAAGATTAATGAATAATACTGCATAATTTTATGGGGTTCACTAATAATATGTTAGCAATATGTATATGTATGGATGGACACATAAAGTTTTATTATTGTAGTTTTAAAATGTAGGTAGTTTATATGATACTCCCAAACCGAACAAACTAAGCCCTGAACATTAGTCCGAACAAAAAATTGCAACATAATAGCAGATATCATCATTATTATTAAGAATTCAAGAGTCAAGATAACCCCACATGTTGAGTCATTCATAGGATGAGAGGTGAAACATATTCAATGCATAATTAGCATGAGGTAACTTTTATTTTTATGTAAAATTGATTATGATTTCATATATTTTTTTATTATCTTTAGCACATACAATGTCATTTTTAAATGGCCTTCCAATTAATATGAAGTATATGAACACTAGAAATATCCATTGAGCTATGCGATACATTACTGGTTATAGTTTATAAACTTATATAGCATACATAAAATTCCTTTGTGAAAAGAAATAAATGCCTTTCAAAAACTTAGAAATACTAGAATTTCACATTGAGTCACAATTCTTACAAACATATGGAGTAACTAAAATAAAATATCTAAGTACATACACATATTGACATATATAGTAATGTTAATGAAATTAATAGAGATATGACTAACTATACAACAAGTACGTGTATGAGAAAAAATGGTCGGATAAACATAAAAGTAACTCATTTAGTAATCCAAAACAAAAATGGAAAGTTATAACTTGAAGCAATGAAGCTTTAGAACAACTTCCAATCGACAAAATATTAGGAGATATTATGACCATATAATATTGACTTGAATAGCACTCAAGGGTGAGTGACAAGTCCCTCAAAAAATTTAATCACCTAATTGCGCACCCAACCCAAACATACCTTTACCACATCATTCTTATATAAAAACTATGTTAACTCTCACTAATCACTCCAAACTTACACAAAATAATATAACATCTACACACAATATTCTATTCTAACGAAATAAAAATATGGGTGCTCATTTTCTTTCTTCTCCTGCATTTTGTGGAACTCTACTTTTGTTTATTGCCAATATTTGGTTATGTCATGGAGTGACAAGGCACTATAGATTTGATGTATGTAATTTTTTTTGAAAAATCACTTTTTCATTAGCCAATGAAATTTTTATCTTATGATGCATGCTTCTTTTTATGTAATGATTTTTATCTTATAAAGTTTTTTTTGTTGGATTTTGCATTATGATTTTGTAGATAAAGTTGCAAAATGTGACACATTTGTGCAAAACAAAGAGCATGATCACTGTGAATGGCAAATTCCCTGGGCCAAGAATCATTGCTAGGGAGGGTGACCGAGTCATTGTAAATGTTGTAAACCATGTCAAGAATAATATTTCAATCCATTGGTAAGATAAATTATATTAAAGCTAGTGATGAATTTTTTTGTTATCAAAATGAGATGTAATTCTTCGATTATGCCTTGGCCTCTACCATTTCATTTTATAAACTAATAATCATTTAATATTATAGGCATGGTATTCGACAACTAGGGAGCCCATGGGCAGACGGTCCAGGTTACATAACACAATGTCCAATTCAGATAAACAATAGCTATGTGTACAACTTTACGATCAAAGGTCAAAGAGGGACTCTTTTTTGGCATGCTCATATCTCTTGGCTTAGGGCATCTGTTTATGGACCTATCATTATTCTCCCAAGGAGAAATGAATCCTATCCATTCCCTAAGCCTCACAAGGAAGCCACCATAATGTTTGGTACGTTTTATTATTATGACTAATTAATATTATAATCAACACCTTACATGCATGCTTTAACCCCTTCAAAGCTAATATAGTTGATCACATACATATATTTTTCCCAAACTTATGTTGTAGGTGAATGGTGGAACAATGACACTGAAGCAGTCATTAGTCAAGCCCTTCAAACTGGCGGAGGCCCTAACGTATCGGATGCATATACGTTTAATGGATTTCCAGGGCCATTGTATAATTCATGTACCGGAGCTAAAGGTACTTGATAGTCGACACATCACTGGATTATACAACCTAAACATTTTTGTACTTCGTATATGTTAAATTAATACAATTTGGCTTTGGCTTTTAGGTATGGCGGACACGTATAAGCTTAAGGTTAAGCCAGGGAAGACTTACCTCTTGCGGTTGGTTAATGCTGCACTCAATGACGAACTATTCTTCAGCATAGCAAACCACACTATGACATTGGTTGAAGCCGATGCACTCTACCTAAAGCCGTTTAATACCGACATTTTAGTCATTGCACCAGGCCAAACCACCAATGTACTCCTTAAAACCAAGCCTAATCCTAGACATACCACATACCTAATGGCAGTTAGGCCTTACTTCACCGGTAGTGGCACCTTTGACAACACTACCGCGGCAGCTATCCTAGAGTACGAAATCCCATCAAAGTCCTCCTCGGCCACTCATCACAAGATCCTCAATGTAACCTCTAAGGATCTTCCTCGTTTACCTTCCATAAACGACACTTCTTTTGTAGGAAATTTCTCTAAAAAATTCCGAAGTTTGAACAATGCAAAGTTTCCAGCTGAAGTCCCAAAAAAAGTAGACAAACACTTCTTCTTCACAGTAGGACTTGGAACTAGCCCTTGCCCTAAGAACCAAACATGCCAAGGGCCTAATAACAGGACCAAATTCGCGGCCTCAGTAAACAACATTTCTATGGCCCTGCCATCAACTGCCCTGCTTCAATCATATTTCTTTGGCCAAAATGCAGGGGTTTACAACACTAATTTCCCTCAAATACCGCTTAAACAATTTAATTACACCGGCACACCACCTAATAATACTAATACAATGAATAACACCGAAGTGTTAGTGATCCCATATAACACAAATGTGGAGCTTATTATGCAGGACACTAGCATTATTAGCGCCGAGAGTCACCCTCTTCATCTACACGGCTATGATTTCTACGTCGTTGGCCAAGGTTTTGGTAACTTTAACCCTAAAAAGGACCCTGCCAACTATAATCTTGTTGATCCTGTTGCTAGGAACACCGTTGGAGTACCATCCGGCGGTTGGGTTGCCATTCGATTCAAGGCCGATAACCCAGGTTAGTATTAGTACCACGTGTATAAATTATATATACGCAAATTTCCTATTTCTTTCATATTATCTGTAACTTAAAATATCAACTCGGACTGCATAATAATAATAGTAAACAAGTAACATGTTTATTTGTGCATAATTGTTACATATTCGCATGCATTTGCAACATTTGAACAAGAATGAATATTTGACAGCTACTAACTTGGATTAGACAGTCAACATTATTTAAAGTGGCACAGAAAAATGCATGTAACAATCTAGAATATTTGTCGTAAACTTGTTGTAATCACCATCTAATATTCTTATTAAGCATTGACTATAATTGAATAGCCATTAAATCACGACCCTTTTAATTAAAGGGACAAGATTAAGACTTTTCATCAATTGGATTAGATTGTGTACCAACAAGTGGTAATTACATAAGCTAAGGTTAATAATAAAACAAGTGCTAACATTAGGATACACTAATAACGATATTTTAACCAAAGTGTACGGTTAAGTAATGATTAAGTTAGTCTAAGAACACAAGTGTTGCTTTATTAATATCTTATATTTTTATTAGTATGAAGTATTGTGATTAATTAACAATAATGGAATACCTTAATTTACAATTAATTAATTAATTTTGTGTAATTGAAAACAGGAGTATGGTTTATGCATTGCCATTTTGAGGTTCACATGAGTTGGGGACTAAGGATGGCTTGGATTGTCCTTGATGGAAAATTACCCAATCAGAAGGTGCCACGTCCGCCAGCCGACCTTCCCAAATGCTGATTTGTCAGCCTTTTCATTGGCCGTTAATTCGTTACAACTACAAGTTTTTGTTCCGTGTTTTTGTATGAATTTAAATTATTTTGTTTTTGTGTGATGGTTTTGCTTGAGTTTGAGAGAAAAGCAAGGTGAGGCATTGAATTGTAGAGTTTGTTTGGAATAAGGATGGTTTTGTACAATTAATTCCCAATTTTCCATCTAATGAAATTCAAATCAAGATATTATGAGTTTTAATTTGAGGCTAATTCTCCACCGTCCATTTATTTTACGCTCGAAATTGAAATTAATATGAATAATTACAAATCAGATAACTTTAATTAATTTCACTAAAAATGAATCTGATCGCTATGATTTAAAGAGTGCTCCATATAACTTTTTTTTTTTTTACTTATTATAGTTAGATGAATGTAAATTTTACATGCTACGTAGTTGTCATAGGACGTGCATCATGTTCTCGAATAAATAGATGATTATTATGTAGGTGAAAATATCTTATAGTAATTAATTTTTTTACCGTACTTTACCCGATGGTTCTGTTTTAACCGTTGGAGTATTTGGGTGGGTTGGTGGAAAAGAAAAGGAGAGAGGCAGTAGTTAAATTTGAGTGGCAAAGTAGTTGGGCCATAACCCGTAAATAATGTCATCTTCGTTGCTTAATTTCAAACCCACAACAGATGAGGCTGAGTTGACAGGCGGGCCCAAGGCCCTAAATTCCAGAACCTAGACATGCAGTGGGCCCAAACCTCTGAATTTCTTTCTTATCAAACAGAAAAGCAGATGTAAAGCCCTATGGTTGTGATACTAATGACTTTGATGATTTTTTTTTTAATTTCTTCTGTTCATATCATTTCTCAATTATTATCCAACTTCTTGTTTCCAATTTGTAAGAAATTTCTGATTTTTGTTTCCAATTTGTAAGATTTTTTATTTTTAAATTTATAATTTTCAATATATAAATAGATACTCCTAGTCTCCTAGCTTATTCTCTTATCAAGGAAGACTGATTTTTACTAGCTTGTACTTTATTAGTTTAAGTAAACCTAGCTCGAGCTAACTCACTCGAAGGAAAGTGATAGCTACACATCATTTTATATTGCAAGTAAATTTAGTACGGAGTAGCTTTTACTAGTTTCCTTCTAAAATTTTTATAGGGACTTGAATTTTTTAACGATTAAATATTTTACTAGTCACATGATATAAACAAAATGAGAAAACAATTACTTCCTCTAGCAACATGAAGTAGCGAATCTATTGAACTTATTTCGCCCAAACTAATTAACTTTGATTAACCTAGTAGTATAATCTTTTTTATCCTGTATTTTGAACAAAAGTTGTAGTAACATTGAGTAAATTTTTTGTATTATATTAGTTTCAAAAACTACATTGGCTTAAATTTTTCACAAGTTACAAAGTAGACCACTACTATAAGCATAATTTTTTTAACATTATTAAAAGATTTGTTTTTTTTTTTTTTGAATCTTAAGTGTTGAATTATTAACAAAAAAATCATTGGTCAAAGATACATTAAGGACATAAAAAAGTGCAATTAGGACAATGAGAGTACTTTTCTTCTTATCTTATAATTCGCAAAATTTTGAATAAAATGGTGGAATTTAAACGTGGGACCCAAAATGTGATGGTTGTGGGCTTATAGGTGATTATACCTTCCGCCCTGTAAATGGGTCAGTGAAGCTCCTTTTTGTAGTGCATGTGTTAGCAATTTTAAAGGTTAAAATTTCTTGAATTGATGACTGAAATAGTGAATATCATTCCTTTCTTCTTTTTTACTATGAAAATGCAGTAATTGTTTAGCTTAATCTGGAGTAAATTTGAGGAATATAACTGTCACATCAATGTTTTATACCCCTGCTGTTTTATTTCGTTGATTTTCATATCTTCACTTTCTTCTGCACTGTTTTTTGTTACACCAAAAATGGCAGAATTATTGACAACAACAACAAATATAATTTACTACTCTATAAAGTAAAAGGCAAAAACTCGTACACTCTTAGCTTCAGAATATTCATACAAGTAACAATTTGACTTTTACACAATTTATCGACCACATTTTCTTAACATTGTTCAAAAATCAAATCGTTAACCACATTAACATAGCCTTTTAACATCTTGTACTACAATTAATTAATTAATTAAAACTGTTGTAAGTATTATGAAACAGAGGAAGTAGTAGTTGTTTGTAAGAATAACATGTTCAAATAAGGAGAACGGATGATTTGTTTTCTCCATGGCATAATATAATTCTAAAAAACAGGTTCTGTTTTTATCTTGGTGACATGACGTATATCTTGTTCAATTATGTTTTTTCGTTGGTGATGAGATGACTACATAAGTAGATAGTACATAACCTATTCAACAAATTCAAATAATTTAGTCTAAAATGTTAAAAAGTTTGTAGCAATATATGTCTTAGCAATTGCATGAATAGGACGGAAACCCCCGTCCCCTCACCCAAAAGATGTCGGTTGATGGTTTCTGGCGTGGAAGGAAGGGACGGGGGATAGATGGTAATTCATTCAATTGGTGGTTGATTATTCTACTGGTTAAAAACTTAAATGACGCGTAAAGATTCGATTGGTAGACATACATACATGGAGATGGTAGTAGGACCAAGGAAATTGTGGATGAATTTGGGTTCCAGCTAAATGTGGTCTGTAGTTTCATATAATGTCACACCATTTATCAAGTTTTGCTCCAAACACAGGCTCCCCTTTGAAAGGACATCAACTGCTCTCTTTTGGAAATGTCCAACCCTTATATTGCTTCCTAACATCCTATTTTTATTCTTCAATTCTACCCCTTAAAAATAAACTAACAAAAATAAAGTTATGATTTTTTTGTTTTTAATTTACGTGAATTGATTAAGCTAAACTTTATGTGCATATATTGGTTGGTATACGTAGCTATTATACACAGTAATCAAACTTTCTAAAGTCATTTTTAATTGTTATCCTAACTTTCTTTTTCCTGTTCAAAATCTAGTCTTGCAACTCTCAAAATCAAAGACTTTAATTAGATAGACCCTAGAAAAAAGATGAAGAAAGTTAGATGGAAACTATGTATGATGTTTTACTTCACTACTATTCATTGCTTTACTTATGTAGTTACTATTATTACACTCTATTTCCAATTTTAGAAGGGGTTCATTCAATTATCTGATCATATCTTAGTTGTCACATTTTCATTACTTAATGATATTGACATAAGTTTACAAGAAAACCCTTTAAAATCGTGTTACTAGCTTTGTATAACATAACATTTTATACCTCTTCCCTATTATTTACCTTTAGAGTTATATCACGAGGAAATCGAATCAGAAATCATTCTATATTTTTACAGTAGAAAATGTGACAACTTTATCAAAATATTAAAAAATAAAGTAAGAATAAGATAAAAGTAGTATTTGATACCTTTTCAGTCATTATAATACTGATTCAAAATACGCTATAAGGCGATAACTATTAAAATAACTAATTTCGGATGGACGGATTATTATTATAATAAACTCATCACAAACATAAGATTAGGAAAAAAAAAAAAGATAGAAGAGGAGGAATTTGTTTTACCTAACTCAAGGACTTTCAAATACAACCAAACCAACTTTTTTCCTGCACTACTTCCCCCACTCCAATTATTTTTATGAAGAACAAATAAGGGAGGAAGGAGGCAGCTCACATGCATTCTGGTGTACAGATCTGATGTTTAATAACCCTTCCATTTTTATTATTGTCCTTTTTTTTATTATTACATAAATAAAATAAAATAAAATAAAATAAAAATTATTATGTATATATCAATTTATGCATGGTTGATAATTCCAACAGCTGGATGGAATCTCTGACTTAGCAAAGACAAATATGAAAACAGAATTGCAGACTAGCATGATAAAGAAATTTCCAAAATACACAAATAAAAAAAAATAAAAAAATAAAAACAATGGGATGGTCTACTCTTTGAGCTTGAGTCAATGAGAAAAAAGAAGAGAAAAAAGAGAAACTAATTCTATTTATATTAATGTTCATATATATAAATATATATTTGCAAAATGTATTACACTAATTTAATATAGTTGTGGCCTTATTACCACAATTGAACTAATTAACATCTAATAAAAATTAATCAAAACTTAATAAAAAAAAAAAAACTTAGTATGATTCAACAACATAATAATCATATATATATATATATATATATATATGATTAATATGATTAAGAATCACCCTTTTTAGGCCAACTAACAAGCATTGAAACACACCTCTTCATAATATAAAATCTTGCCTTTTGCTCCTTAGCTAAATGACTACATTTCTTCCCAAATGCGGAGCTTTTCTTTGAGAAGTTTCGCATTAAAGACTTGTTCTTTGACGATGTCGGCGAAGACGGGCACGAGCTCTTCATCGAGGAGCTTCTTGAGAGCTTATCTCTATTATGATTGTGATTGTGAGATGAGGGTTTTTGAGAGTAACTCCTTAGGAATGGAGGTGACTTTGATGCGGAGTTTTTCGCCGAAAAACTCCGCATCAATGACGGGTCTACGGACGATCTTGATGATGTTTCTTTCTTGAATAGTTTCCATTTTTTATCCGAGGATGATGAATAATAGTCTTGATCTTCATATGACATTGTATATGTATATACTTTTGAATTGAAGGGTGGTTTATAGTTTATTTTGTGTAGAATAGAAAATGGGGGAGTGAAGTATGTAGATAGTGAAAGAAATGGAAGTGTTTTTTTTAAGTAAGATTGTTTGTAATTTGCTAACACTTTGAATTGAAGAGAACATGGGTGATTTATATAAGAAAGGTTAAAAATATGATTAGTAAGTAAAGAGTAGTAGTAGAAAATAAATAAAAGTAGTGATTGTAGTATAATGTAGGGAAACTATTATTGGTATAGGATTCATTGGTCCCGGCAGCACATGTCCACACTGTTTTGACCGATTGTACGGGGATTATATATGTTTTTCTTTACAACTTATTTTTGAAAAAATTAAAAAAATAAATAAAAATTTATATGATAAAAAAAAATAATATACCCCGTATTTAATTTGTTACAGAGATAATTAATCGGGTCTAATAAGTTCAGTTTAGAGAAATTAGGTTAAGTGAGCAAGCGTAGTCATTGATATAACATAATAAGATAGAATTGTGTCATCTGAATAACATAAGATGGACATAATCAATATTGTGATTGAGTTATAGTGAGGTTATTAAAAC